GACACACAGCATGCCGTGGCTTCGATCGGCCACAGATGGGAGAAAATCAGCCACAATAATAGATTCACGGAGGTGGAGTGTGTCGTCACACACGGAGCCAGGATGTGCGATCAGAAGGTGTGTGTGGGGGAGCTCGTGCCATATGTCGTTTGACTGCAGTGGGCCCGCTCCCATGTCAGGAGCAAAATGTTCCTCCCAAACAGCCTGGACATCACCCCTGATGCCAGGGCATTCTGCCACACCTGGGGGACTCTTACCAGGTACTGAAGTCGCTGGCGCTCTGTCTCTGGGGTGAATTCCGAAGACATGGGGATGATTTCTCCATTTCTGATGATTATGGCCCTGAAATGGTGAAAACGCATTGTCAGCAGCTAATCTCACAGGTGCCCCGATTCTGTGTTAATTCCCAGCTTGGCTGAGGACACAGATGCAATGCCCAGGGGACACTTTCTCCTCCAACCTGCATGGTAAAGTTCATTGTGACCAACTCTACCCCACCAATCGCAGGTATCTGTACTTTAAGAATGTCAAAGTGTAATACACTTATGTTCACTTTTTCTGCTAGCTGGACCCAGGCATTAATGCCCAGCTCCAGTACTTGGCACATAGTAGATGCTCAGTGAATAAGTGGATGAATAAATGGAAGATGTCACAGAGGCTCACTCTAGACTAGCGTTCTCTAATAGAACTTCCTGGGATAACGGAAATATTTTATTTAATCTGTGCAGTCCTATATGACAGCCACCTGTGGGTACTGAGTGTTTGGGTTGTGCAGCCAAGAAACAGAATTTTAAAATTTTATTTAATTTTAATTAATTTAGCTTTAAGTTTAAGGAGTCCCAAGTGGCTAGTGTTTAATGCAGTTGACAGTACAGCTCTAGATCAGTGTCTGTGGGCCAGTAACTCAGGCCTCACCTTGGAACTTGGTAGAAATGCAGGAGACTCTCAGGTGCCACCCTGGACCGACTGCATCAGAACCTGCACTGTAGTGAGATCCCCAGGCGACTCACAGGCTCATCAGAATCTGAGAACCCCCGACCAAGGCTCCTGAGTTTCTAGGGCACCATGCTGGGCCCAGGAAAATCTACTCTCATCGCATCTTAAAGCCCAAAAATGTGCCCAAGAGCTACTGCTGACTTCAGGACTTTTGCGAGAACAGAGTTCCCCAAAGCAGATTTCCCAAGGAGAGGCTGCTGGATCAATAACCATGGAGCAACCTTTCTGAGGCCCGTTCCCAGCGGAACCTCTTGCTCCTATATTCCTTGTTCTAAAGTGGTTCCTGACAGCCACTTTCCAGCTATTGATCTGTTATGGTAGAAGGCTGCCATTTCTGCGACAAATGGAAGTGGCTTGGGGAATTGCATTCTGTTCAAACCCAAAGCTCCCTGTTACCAGGCAGACAGAGACCTGGCACACTCCTCTGTGAGACCCACAAACACACCAAGCCTGTGATGAGCTCTGCTCCAGGGGAGAATACATTCTCTGTGCCAAGAAGCCCCTGGCACCGCTCCCTCCCTGCAGAGGCAGTCCCTGACTTAGAAACAGTCCTACAAATGGTCACAGCTGTTGCGACCCCATCCCCAACCCCTTACCACCTGGGCCCAGTTGCTGCTGCCATAGAAACCGGTGGGAGGGGGCAGCCAAGGGAGGGAATGACGACAAACATCTTGGGGGTTTTAGAGAGTTTTCGGTCTAGGAGGAAAACAGTGGGAGCTGTGAGAAAATGGAAACATGGAAGGGAGCTGACTCTGCAAAGAGGATGCCTCCTGCTTTCACATTTGCATCGATTCTTTTATGATGCTGCTGAAAATAGGACAAATGAAAGATTCCTTCTTATAAACCGAGAGCCACGTGTAAAATGCAATCATGCCCCCCCAAAGGTGACATCTACCATTCACAAATCAGTGTGAGTTTTCAAATTCTCTTTGTCCTAATTGTCAGTTGAGAATAATCACAATAAGGGGGTCAGGAGTCTGACAAAGGATGGAGGAACTTGAAAGGAAGGTCTAGGTTAGGGCCTAATCTTAAAACAGCAAGAAGGGCCCTGAGAACTTGGGGAACTAGAGCCAAAGTCATTATGTGATAAATGCCAAAGGTGACCTTCTGTTTCAAAATTTTGCTTAAAGCTAGTCTTAACTCTTTTCTTCCCCTTTCTCTACATGGCCACTTAATTCCAGCTTCTGGGCTTGAACAAGGAAAGGTGGATATCCAGGAAGGAAGGGAGAGATCATGAAAACAGAAGGGAGATAGGGAAGTGAGACTGGAGTGTCAGAAACTCGGGAGAGGACAGGCTGGGTGTCGTCAGCAAGGCCTGGAAGGAGCCAACACACCCAATCCGGTCACAAAGCTTCTCCTCCAGGACCTACGACGCGCCAGGAGGGCCGGGGCTTGTCTGCTGTGTTCACTCTTCTATTCCAAATGCTTGGCGTTGTGCCTGCCACAGAGCATGAGCCTGATGAATATTTGTTGAATGGAGGGACAGATGAGACAACTTAGGAGAAACTTTTCCTTGAATTTTAGGCAAAAAGAAAGAACTAAGAGACAGCAGATGTTCACTTACACAGAAAGTGGGGTCGACTCCACAAAGCCAAGGGAGACCCTCGCCTGGAAATGCTCCTGCCCCCTCAGCTGTCTTTCCCTCTTCTCTTGCAGACCAGAGTGAGTTCATCCATCCCTTTCCTCCTCTGTCTTCCCTACGTCAGTTATTCCTTCCCTGTCTATCCACCCTCTCTCTGCTCAGAGTTCAACATCCTACTCAAAGCACTTTGTGTTTAAAATCAGACAAAACAAAACCAAAAGTGAACAAACAATACTCTCCTAACCCAAAACCCACCTTCAGAGTCTGTTCTTTGTTCTTTCCTACTAAGCCAAGGTTTAAAAGTAATTATCTATACACAGGGTCTCTATGCCCCAAGGATCCCTCAGAGGTGAGTTCATTCTTACCCCTCTCTTGACCCAACTTCTTGCACGAGTCACCAACTGGCCTCTTGGCTGCTATATCCACTGGGCATGGCCACATTCCCAGTCTCCTTGGCAGCACTTGAGTCTCTCCCAATCCTGGCGCCTGGGATACTCACTCCCCTGGTTGCCCTCCTACCCCCAGGACACTCCCTCTCAGACTTCTCTATGGGCCACCGTTTTGTCTCTCTAACCCCTCTCCCTGGGCACTCTCATTTCCCAGCTCCTTAACCCCCAAGCCTAGGTTTAGAGTCTCTCCTATATGCTCCCTTACCCCGGTACTTCTAATATAGAATCATCAGTTTCTGTTCTTGATGACTCAACTGTCCACCCTCCACACTAGCCGGGTAACTTTTGAGATAAGAACTATGTTTGTCTTGCTCAACACGGTAGCCCCACTGCTATACACAGGGCCAGGCTACTGCACACAGACCTGACTACACAATTTCCAGGGTCCAGTGCAAAATAAAAATGCAGGACCTCCTGCTAATGAGAATTTTTAAATGCTGACAGCAAAGTATTAAATCAATTGTGGGGCCCTTGGAGAATGAGGCCTGCGTGACCCCACAGGTCGCACACCCACGAAGCCGACTGTGTGTCACTAATATTTACCAAATAAATAAACGGCTTCAACAACTACATATGCCGATGATTCCAAATCTCCTTTCCAGCCCACATGTCTCTGGTGCGCTCCAGCCTGGAAAAGCCACCTAACAACAGAAATATCTCCTCTTGGATATTCATTGGCATCTCAGACTTAGCGTGTTTCAAACTGAATGAAAGATCCTACCCTCTCCACACCCCCAATCTGTCCTTCCAACATTCTCTGTTTTGGGGAGCAACACTTTACTTTTCACCCCGTCACCCATCCCAGACCAGGGAGCTGTTTCAGACTTCTTATGTTTCTCCCTCTACAGGCACCAAGTATTATAGATGTTACCTTCTCAGCAGCATGGGAATCGGTCCCCTTTCCTTGATTCCTACTCTTACTGCCTTCTTTTGGGTCCTCATTAGATCTCGGCTACATGACTCAGGACCTCTCCGCTGATCTCCCTGCTCCCAGGTCCACCCTCTGGCCCACTGGCTATACGGTCACCAGGTGATGTCGAAGCATCCCTCTCCTCACGTCACATCCCCCACCTGAAGCCCCTTGATGGCCTCCCAGAATTCCCAGTTTCCCCCACTGTCTGGTTTTTGCCTGTACTTCTGGCTTCAGCCTCCCCTCCTGCTACTCCTTACGCTTCTGCCTCTCCCTTCTTCTGGCCACCCTACTGCCCCCTGAGAATTAGCCCAGGAGAATGCCCTTCTGGTTTAGCTTCAATGCCCCTTCTCTGTGACGGACCCATGAGGCCGTGTGCCCCGCTGTTCCGCGGCCCTTCGTCCTCACTGCGAGGTCTGGCTCCCGCGGTCTCTAACCGCCCCAGGGGCTCCTCCAGGCAGAGCCGAGGTCCCTGTCTCTCCCGGCCCGTGGCGACACACACTAACCACTTGCGGAGGGGTAAGCGGCTAAATGAATGAAGGGCAAGCTTGACTGGGGTGGATGAACAGACTGATTCAGAGCAAAGGCCCCACACAAAAACTTCTCTTAGTGGCAACATTATTTTCGGTTATTGTCTAACAGTATATACAGTCTGAGCCCACAAAATCCATAATGCCTTTTCATTGGTTTTACAAAAAGACAATGGGCCTAAAACAATGTTGTTCTGGCCGAGTCACCACTGAAAAGTGACTTGAAAGATAATGGGACACGAGGCAAGGCCCCCGACCTTAGCAGGCGGGAGGGCGGGTGCAGCAGAGGCGGCAGCCACCCGTATGTTTACTGTTTTTAAATTTCACATTCCCGCACGAGGAGGTGCCAGCATTCAAGTCCAATATTCGCCGCCGGGGTCACCCTAGCTAGTGACTTTCTTCACTAGATCACTACATCCAAATCCATCTGTGCACAGGGCGTCCTTCACTTCTGTCTGAACTATCGAGCTCTTCCTTTATGAGGCATCCGTAGATTAAAGAGGACAGCATTTCTGGCAGCCAAACTCTTAAGTCCCTAAATCATGATATGCCTCTTCCTCTGCGATGCCTGCCTTCCCTTTCATCTTTCTCTCTTTCATCCTCTGATCCTGGGGTCAATCTGTCAGAGCGCCAGTCCCACTCGAGCAGGGCAGTGCGAGGGAAGGGGGTTCCAAGGGAACAGAGGGCGTGTGAAGGCTGACGAATCTCGTCCCAAACCACCAACAGCGCGGGGAAATGCCTTTAGCGCTGCACTGTCATGATGGGATCTTCTACTTCATTATTTCATGAAATGTTTCTCCTATGGAAAACTTAAAAAAGAAAGCCAGCTGTGGCAGCAATGAGAATGAAGGAGAGTTAGGCCGAGGCCCTGACCC